TGCAGATGGTCACTTGAGGTCTCATGCCTCCTGATTCCTTTACCACATGACAATGCCGTCTTCCAGTTTGTGTAACCAACATCAGTGAAAGTTTTCTCCACACTGCTCGTGTCAAACTTCCTACAACAGTGGCAAAATGCAGCATTTTTTATCACTGAATACTCAAGCCAAGATCTGTTATTATACCACTGTGAACAAAATCGTCGCTTATTGATTTCAGGGTAATGGCCAAGTTTGGGCTGTTTAGGTATATCAATTCCTAAGTCAAAAGAATAAGCACAACCTGTTTGAAGGGTGGACGTTGACTTTGCTAATGGTGTTGAAGTAGCTGAAATTGGTGGGTTTGATGTGAGCATCTCCGTTGAACTTAGTGGTTTGATGTGATCATCTCTGTTAACTTGGAGGTTTGATGTGAGCGTCCCTGTTGAACTTGGTGGATTTGATGCGAGCATCTCTGTTGAACTTGGTGGGTCTGATGTGAGCGTCTCTGTTGAACTTGGTGGATTTGATGTGAGCGTCTCTGTTGAAATTGGTGGGTTTGATGTGAGCATCTCCGTTGAACTTAGTGGTTTGATGTGATCATCTCTGTTAACTTGGTGGGTTTGATGTGAGCATCTCTGTTGAACTTAGTGGTTTGATGTGAGCATCTCTGTTGAACTTGGTGGGTTTGATGTGAGCGTCTCTGTTGAACTTGGTGGATTTGATGCGAGCGTCTCTGTTGAACTTGGTGGATTTGATGTGAGCGTCTCTGTTGAACTTGGTGGGTTTGATGTGAACGTCTCTGTTGAACTTGGTGGGTTTGATGTGAGCATCTCTGTTGAACTTGGTGGATTTGATGCTGTTGCTGTTGCAAACCCAAAGCTCAGCTTACTTTGCTTGTATTTCTTATTTTCCATTCCTCTTTCCTAAAACACAAAAAATGAAAGAATTCAGTGATGAAAAATCAGACAATTATTTGAATATTAATTACATTCATTTTGTGAATTAATAAAGGAACAATTTTTTACCACCTTCGTAAAATTAGGACCCTATTTAGTATATTACTGTTAAACTGTTAATTACGAATTACGTTATTTAAGTGTCAGTTAGGTATGAATAATACAGTAAGTAATCTATATATATAAAAGGAAGAACTTTGTGTGTTTGTGGCGTTGTGACACGATATCTCAGACCACAGGTCAGCTAGAGCAAAGCGTTGAATACATTAAATGCGTGTTTTGACCAGGCCAAGAAAGTGACATGCCGATTTTTTCGATCCGATGTCTGTCTGTCGTCCTGTAACAGATCTGCCTATTCAACCAATCACGGCGCAGTCACGTTACGACGTCATCACTTGCCGGGTGCGATCCGTTGAAGGTTTTAGGGTATAAAGCGTTTTAAAATGTTTTTGAGGCCTATAGAGGAAGATAAAGCACACAAAAAAGTATGTTGAAGTAAGGGTGCTGTCGAAGCGTGAAGACGGGAAAAAACTATTAAGTGTGCTGACGGATCACGCGTGCTTGCTCATTTGAACCTAAGTAGGCCTAAAAACTTCTAAATGCAAATATATATATATATATAAAATCCTCCGGGCAGCGCCGGGTACCTCAGCTAGTAAGTACTAAGACCGATTTCTAAACTATTGTATAGAATTTACTAAAGTGCCTGCTAACAATTAAAGTAACATTTCCTCACCTCTTTAATAATAATGCCTCAAACACTGTAAATCTAGCAATACATAAACAAGAATGAGAGAGCGGTTTCAGTTATTTGTCTTCTTATCTTCACTGTTCGATGAGTGCACACAGTTCCTTTCTTGCGCAATAATTCACTTCCAACACGAATAATTTAGTGTATTCAACTATGCTCTTGTTTTGTGTAAGAAGCAACACGTTGTCTAACTTTCAGTTATAATTCTTATTTTATTAATAAACGAACGATTAACGTTGCATCGATCAATAATAATTTATTTGAAATCTGACGAATCTGAATAATCCACGTCAGCGGTATTCAGCCGTCGATGCGATAAAAAACACAAAAGCCGAAAGGATAAGTACAAATATATTTTATTTTATAAATATTGATTTACATCAACTATTACTTCGGTTACCAAATATTTTTATACATGAATACATTGGAATTATTCAAGCTCGAAAAAAAGAGTCATTATTTTTTTTAAGGCAGATTTTTAGAGGGCGCATTGCGCCCTTTCGCGCCCCCGTGGCTACGACACTGTAGTAATACCTTAACATCTTGGTATTTATGTTCAAACATTATAGTGCTGGCTGGAATACTAACTTATTATTATTATCTTTATTGTTAGTGTTTTTAATTAATTAATTTTTTTGTCACCAAACACCTTCCCACAACTGGCTACAGACAGCGAAAGGTGGTAAGGATGTAGAACGTTGTGGGCTGGAGAACCCACATCTGCTCCTCTTCTTTCAAGCATATGAGGCCGGCGAAGTTGAGATTCAACTCGATAGACAGTGTAACCCCAACGGTATTTGGGTCTCACTTCCGCCAGTACCTCAAAAAATCAGGACGCATTACATAATGACCCACCCTATGATTTGTGGCCCGGTGTTTGGTGTTCGTTGTGTGGCTGCGTTTTTTTATTCATTATTTTTTCAAGTATATTTTTCGTTTATTTATTTTTTTCTTCTCTTTCTTCCCTATAACATTAAATTGAAGCACATATCATCTGAGGTTTGGATATGCTGTATGAAATACAAGCCATCCTTCCTTTTGATTTAATCTGTTTTATAAAATGTTTATAGCTTATTTAAATAATATATACATGCACATACACATATATATGTATTTATTTCGGTCAATTCGACAATGAACTAAATTAGACATTATAGTGTCATTAGTTAATTTGTAGTGTGTCACGATAAGTTGTCTCTTGTTCTTATTTACTAGAGTATATCAGCCAATATTAGCATTCAAAATAGCGTGCATCATCCTGTTGAATTAAAATCTGTGTTTAAGAAACTATTACGAATGAAACATTTCTTTAATGTGAAAAATGAGTTATCTTTATTTCCGTTCTCGATATGAGCGAGATTACATTGAATCAACCGTAAAAATGCTGCTGACCCTCATCAAGGAACATTGTACACGCGAAGGCCGATGTTTACATATTGGCATGCATCACTCTAATAACTGGGCTTGCCAGTTTATGGTTTACATCATTGTGATAAATAAAACTTAAAACCTGAAAAAAAAAGTCTTACTTGTCAATAAACAGTGACCTACGCTAAATCAGAACTACTGTTGTGGCATTCTCGGGTTCACTGACATACCTCTCTGGTAGTTATGCAAATAACAGGAGGATTGGCCAGGATATGTATCACGGAGTTAAAACTGAAAATTTGGCTTGACTGGGTTGAAAAAAAAAAGAGACTGGATAGAATCTAATAGTAAAATAATCTATTTAATATAAAGAGCAACAACTTAAAAGACTAAGAAACTATGGTGTTATATACACAGGACGCAGGTGCTACCCGTGCCACTGGCTGTCCGGAGTGAAAGTAGGGAGATTTTAACCATCAGGTATTTCTGAGCTGAAACTCCATGATGTTACCAGAGAAAGCAAACGCAATATCCGAAAATAAAGCTTTGTCAACATCATCTGTGAGAAACGTCTAAAAATATCTAAGTGGAACACAATCTTTTTAATTGCACTGCACACAGCGAATTTTCTCTATGTGAAGGTTTGTAAATATTCTAAGTGTATGTCTGAAATAAAAATCGGTAAATAGTTTGCCTTTCCAAGCTAAGACAGAAAAACAATATGGCACCTTTTTTAGTACCACAATATTTGGTCCCTTCAGGGCTGGCCTTAGGTACAAGCAAATGATACAATTGCATTGACCCCAAATACTTATTATATATTAATAACCAAAATGACCATATTGTCACGATGTAGCTATACTTGAAATTCTAAAAACCGTCACAAGCGTGTAAATTTCAAGAATGACATGGATAACTTCATTTTGTTATTTTATTTTCTGATTTTTAAACTTATCGTATTTAATTATTGTGAAATCATTTTTCTGGAATTTAGCGAAATGTTATACCCGTACGGTAAACAAGGTGCACTCGACTATCCCAATCAGGATATTATACAATAAAATAATATAGTACTATGAGTTATTCCATATATACATTGTGAAGGAAGTATCCAGGCGAGTAGGTACGTAATTGTATTGAGTTAAGACTTGAAAACACGAATTTATTTCAAGACGTTTTCATTTATATGACTACCTGCATAAAATTCTTCGAACTAGTACACTGATTTGTTGTTATCAAGCTATTACGAAAACAGTACTTTCTGGATTAATGAATTTCTTATATCAACTTGTTGTTTTCCTAGTGTAAAACTACTCAATGGTCTATCGGTACCCTGTCAACCGCGGTGAATTGAACCCCGGATTTCATCATTGTAAGCCCGTAAACATTTGTTTGTTTGTTTTTTTATTTTGGGGCAAAGCTACACGAGGGCTATCTGCGCTAGCCGTCCATAATTTAACAATTTAAGACTAGAGGGAAGGCAGATAGTCATTTCCAACTACCGGCAACTCTTGGACTCCTCTTTTACCAACGAATAGTGGGATTGACCGTCACATTATAACGCCGCCACGGCTGAAAGGGTGAGCATGTTTGGTGGGATCGAGATTCGAACCCGCGACCCTCATATTGCGAGTCCAGTGCCCTAACCACCTGGCCATGCCCCCCCCCCAAAAAAAAGTTAATGTTTTAGGTATTGTAATGTGATCTAAGTGCACTACTCAC